TCCGATGTATGACCATAAAACAGTTACACAGTTTAAAATCGGTGGTTCAGTGTAGTTACTATTTTATAATTACGTAACATTTATCTCGTGCGTAAAAAAATCTAGTATATTCTTTGATTACGCTATTTTTCAGCCGGGGGTTGTAATACAAATTTGACTAGTTGCTTTTTAGGCAATATCACCAATTTGTATAACATCGTAACCTTAAATGGCAAGTATATGTCAATCAACTTGTGAAAATGGCGCAAATTTATAAATTTATAATTCAATATTTTTCGAAACATTATTCTATGAAGAGCAAGAGACATGAAGATATATTGCAAACATTTAAAAAAAAAATTCCTGGGCAAATTTCTATTTAAGGTTAATTAATTTGCAAAATAATTCCTCGAAATGTATTACTAGTAGTTTCACTGGTTTGGAGACGGCTCATGAATTAATAATTGATAATTACCATAATAATGTAAAATCATATAAGTTGCCTAAATTCGTTCATATTTTTGCTATATATCTAACATGATATTTTTGCATCTAAAGAGATTATATATAAGATTAGCAAAAAATTTTAATGTAATATTAATAAAATTAGTAAGGGTTATTATAAGATGAAGCAGAGACTTAAATTTATTAATATCATAGAAAAAATTTCATTGATAAACAGTAATCAAGAGAAATGGAAATTTATAATTTATAATAAATTAGATATTAAAAATATATTATTTGAAGTATTCATGTTTTACAAAAATCAAAAACTGAGATACTATTATTAAATCTTTAATAATTGCTCTCATAATTCATAAATCTTAATAATACATATGTATATAATTAATGTTTCTAAATTCAATACCGTGGTTAACAAACAGTAGTCTTTATTTAAAACGTGTAATTTAATAATGTAGTTGAATAATCTACACGTTTATATTTTTAATTACCCCTTCAATTTTATATTTATCGAATAGTTTCATATATGAATTATTGTTTCGATAAAAGCAAATATCTCCTAAATATATGGAAACTGCAGGTCGTCCTTTCCATTTTTCAAAGAATGTCTCTAAAGTTTTTAAAGAAAACTTAATGTCATAAGGAATTCCAATTTCTCTTAGATTTGTTGATGCTTCCCTAATTAACACATTTGACAAGTAATCGCCAAATTCTAACTCTTTCCCTTTTTCATAATATCTTTCTTTAAAATTTAATGATCGTAATTTTTGACATTTTTTAAGTAATTTTTCAAATTCAATAAAGTGAGTCTCCAATAATGGAAATACAGGAATTGTTAAATATTCAATTGAATAACAATTTTCACAAATTGTACGAATAAAATTAAGAGAGCCATCATTAAAATTATCATTATCGTAAAAATCAGCGATCCGTAATTCTCTAAGATACAAGCTATTTTTTATTATGTAAGTAGCTTGGTAAATATTTATATAATCTATCTCTAGGATCTCAAGGTCACGATAAGTCGCCACTTCCAATTTTTTATTCAAATCGGCATTATCCAAAAATAGAGAAGAATATATTGCTAATATTTTTAAATTTTGAAGTTCTAGGAGTGTATACAGTAGAAATGTATAATCATAATTATAATCAACCAGAAAGCTTATTTCAAAATGATTAAGAGTATTTGCATGTTTTTCTAATATGTTGAAAATTTCTGTATAAGGATCTTCTAATTGTTCCCAATCAAAATAATCATAATCTTCTACAAAATCATCTACCCATTTAAAATATTTTAAATTTTTTTGAAATTCAATTAACTTAGCAGTTCCATGATTAGCTTTTAAGTTTTTATTAATAATGATAATTCTTTGTATTTGTTGACAGATATGTGCTAGTCTGTAAAAGTACCTAGAATCAATCAATGTGTCACATGTTAATTCACAAAGAGACTCAAGACGGACCTTTGCTTCCGGAAGGTATACTATCTCATAGGTATCACATATATTTAAATATTTTATTTCTGGACATTTCTTTATCAAGAAACTATAAATTTCCTCTTGTAAAAGAAATCGATTATATTCTGATGATGATCCCATGGAAATTATATCATCTATAATTTTTATATTGATACTTCTACAGAAAGACAAATAATCAAATGCAAGTGATTGACCTGAAATTTTAATTTTAATTCCTTTCTTTGATAAGAATTCTTTAATATAATTGGATAAATAGACAGTAATAATAGTATATAAAGAATTTTTTTTACTATAATTAATAGCATAGCGCCAGGGGTTCCTCCATAAAATTGGAATCACGGTTTCAGACCAAATTCTATTAACCATTAGGCATGAAAAGAGATATTTTGAATTATCCTGTAATTCCTCAAATATCAAGAAAAGAATATCTTTATTAAGTTTGGACATTTTTTTTTTGAATAAATAAAATGAAATAAAATAAAATAATAAGGATTTTATAATTTTCCGCTATAGCGGAAAATTTTAATTTTCAAATAATAAATAATGAAGTACGTTTTATATAAAACTCCGATGTATGACCATAAATGTAATTAAATGTTTCATTGGAATATATATGGTAATAAATGTAGGGTCATGAAAAACAGTTACACAGTTTAAAATTGGAAATTTAAATAATGTAGATCAATCAGTAATTCGGTTGACGTTAATTGCTGATCCGACTATAATTGGAAGTAAAAGTAAAGATCAATGAAATCTATTTTATAAATCGTGTAACATTATCACTTTCTGCGCACGCAGTTGTTCAGGTTTTTACCGACTGCGTTCAGCTTATTGACAAATGGTCACAATTTGTGGATTTGCCGTTCAATCCTAGTCTCCTAGAATACTTAAAGAAACCAACCATTTAATATGGGTATCCCTTCGTGCTTTAAATGTTTCGAAGAATTTATCTATCTCTTTTACCAAGGTCCCTGCACACGCCGATGACCTCCATAATAATCAAGTGGATATGCTCGCCAAGTCTGCACGATATAACGACTTACCAGCGGGACCTCCAACTTTCTTTCTTACAGCTCCTTGTGCCTTAAATTTTAACGCATTACTTTTGGATGTTAACTTACGATATATCTACAAAGAAATTTTCAAAGCTCGTCAACTTGCTTTTCTCTGTACCTTGACGCGTTTCTCTGACCTTGGTCCCGTCTCTTTATTCGATTGGGCTTTAACTTGGTCTTGCCTTTCTATGGATCATGGTCCTTTCGCTCGTTCGAATGGTCGTGCTAGCTTTCTTGCCTTCCGCATCAAATTATTGCTGAATATGCTACCAACCATGACCACACTACAACAACGCCTTCCATCGGTTTATCCTCCTGAATGGCTTTGTCTCTTGTGTGACTCCTTGCCTGAAGACTTGCCGCATTTGTGGTCTTGTACCTGCACTCTCGCGGATTATACGCCTCGCTCGACCCACCGCAATTTATTACTAGCTCTTCGTTCCTCCCTTTTAGAAGGGTTCACGCTTGCTGCGCTGGACAACACGCTTTCACCTGCCTTCAGTTCTCCTCGGCTTTTATGGCTCTGGATTGTTGGTCTTCTTCGCATTGGCTCACGCGAGGCCTTATACCTACCGAGTTGGTAGCTCTTTTGAGACCCTACCTTTCTCATGCAAAAATATTGTGTTTTTGCTCCTGCTCTGAAAGACTTCCATTTTAAATTGTATGTGGAAATTTGGATTTGTCGCTCAGTTTTATTTCAAGTCTGGGAACGTTCCCGGGGTATCACCTGCTCAATGAAATAATATGGTTCCTCTCGTAACTCCTCCTCTCCGTCTCCTCGTACTTCAATTACTACTCTCTCCTCTTCTATGGCGTCAGTCCTTCAGGATCCTTGGATTTTTTGGATTTCCTCTTCTATAGTCCAAGGTGGACATTGGTTCTCACACTTGGATTTTCTGCGCCGCTTAACAGTTCAGCCTCTTCGTCTTAGGATTTCTCTCTGGTGACGGTTAGGCTCTTAGGATATGCTGGATACATCAGGAGTTATATTCTATATGGATTTATATGAAAAAATGTATGTAAAATCTACATACACTATTCTATGTAGTTTTGGAATTTATGTGGGTCTGATTTTATGTGTAAAATAGATTTATATGGAGTCTATATAAATTTTTTGCATTAATTTCAAATAAATTTTATGTATTTTTTGAATAGATAATATAATATTTAATAATGTAAATTATAAATTGCAAATTTATTATTGTTTACTTTTAATATTGTACAATAAATTACAAATTTCTTTAGTTATCAACTAAAATTAATTGTAAAACATTTAAACGATGCAAAGTCTTCAACCAACAGGTTTCCGTTACTATCCATGTTGACAAAGCATCCAATCCGAAGCTGATCCTACAAAAAAATGAAAAATGGTTAAAAATCATTTCTTAAATAAAAGAAAGAAGTTTCAAAATTGAGTAAATTTCGAAACTCACCTTTCACATAACTATATTCACTCCTCCAAAGTGCGAAACCTACAAATAATTAAAGAAGCAGTTAGTAGTAAACTGTTAACTTTAATTAATTAAAAAAAAAGAAAATTTTAAAGTTTTAAAGTTTCAAAACTTACATATTCATTCGTCCTACAGACAGATTTTTATCTGAATCCCACGACAGGTTAGAGGCTTAGAGCTAAGTCCTATAAAAAAAATCATTAAAAAAAAACACTATTAAATTATTTTTAAAATTTTTCGAAAATTCATCTAAAATTCGCAATCAATTCAAAAATTGGATGTCGAATTTCTACAAAAAATAAAAAAAATGTTAAAGTTCTTAAAAATATGAATATACTCAAAGATTTAAAAAGGAAATTTGCATTTTTGTTAAAAGAGTGATTTGAAGCTTACCTCACCCTAGGAATTTGAAATCAGAAAAAAACCTACAAAAAGAAAGAAATATTTTTAAAGAACATTTTTAAAGGTGGTTGAGCAGTTTTCTATAAGGTAGAAAGAAAGAAGTTACAAATTGACTTTTGTTTTAAAAAAAGTAATGTTTTCAAAATGAAAACTTGCTCAGGAGTCGCCTAAAGAAAGAAAAAAAAACTGAAAACTATTTGCTGAAATACATAAATTAATAAAGAAAAAAGTGATAGTACACGTCCAAAGATATCCAAAAGAACCAGAAGAAAGAATAGAACTGCAAGTACAGTTCATTAAAATAAATAAATTTTAAAGAAAATAAATACAATAACTGAAATACCAAAATTTCACGTGTATATCTAAAAAGTAAAAAATCAAAAAAAAATTTCACTGGGGTCTTGCGAATTACTACGCATCCAAAGACCCAAAAAGATAACTGTTTAAAAGAAAGAAAGAAATATAAATCATTGTATAAAAATTAAATGATTTAATGAAACCCTAACTGAAATTCTGCACGTTCATAGACCTAAAATTTCAGCCACTTAAAGAAAAGAAAAAAGAGCCGTTTAGAGCTGTTCATTAAATAAGAACAAATAAAGAAAAAAAAAATGAAAACTTACAGAAATATCGTATTCAGAAGACTAAAAAAATCCAAAAAAGAAAAAATTTTAGTTATAAAATATTTTTAACGAGAAAGGGGAAAGAACAAAGGAGAGGTAATGGAAAAATGAGAAAAGGAAAAGGGAAGAAAGGAAAGGAAAAAAATGAGAAGGAAAAGAGGAAGAATGAGAGGGAAAGATAATGACAAAAGAGGAAAGAAGACTTTGAAAAAAAAAGTTTAAAAAAAAAATTATTAACTGTTAAACTGCGAGTAAATACATTATATCACGTGATACACATGATGCTAGTTTACCTTTTTTGAAGTAGTTCATTATTTCTGTTCGTTCTTACATAATTGATTGTACACCACAAAGTCACAAACCAAAATTAGTAAGTAGGAATATCAAAAAAGGACCGTGGAAAAAGTTGTAAAGCTATTGAAAACGTGAAGATGAAAAGGAAGAGAAAAAAATTGATAACAAGAAAGAAGATAGTTGAGAAAATATTAGAGTTTATAGAAGAAGAATGAAAAAAGAAAAAAAAAAGTGATAATTTCACGATTAAGCCTAAAAAAAATTTAGGTCGTATCATACAAAATCATGTAATGTAACGAAATAGTTTATAGTATAACTGTATAACTCTGTACGACCAAACTATAATAGTTATTTTGAATGAATTTTACAAATGAGATTTGAGACTAACTATTAAAAATTAACTTATATAATCCATATAGATTTATATGAAAATTTTAAATAAAACGTATATTTGAATTTTATATGTATATAATCAGTATATAAAATGTTTGTATAATATTTATTTAATTTTGGATTTATATTTAAATAGTTCTGTATTTGTATAATTTTATTTAAAATATTTGCATCATATTTATTTGGCTATAAATTACACATGAATTTATATTTAAATAATTTTATATTTATATGCATATTACATAAATTTTTATAAATCTGTAATATATATAAATAATCTACTTATTTTTTATATAAATGTAAAAATATTATAAATATTCTATATAAAAAATTTATATTGGATATATATAGAGTTATAGATATTACATGATAGAATCTATAAAAAATACAACTCCTGATGTAGTTGACTCACACTGGCTTTCGTGCAAAGTTGGGGTATGCGATTCTGTTGATATTTTAGTTACTTTATTTTAAGGGTAATTTTAACGCTCACCCCAGGTGAAAATCACCTGGTCATATGATTTTTAAAATTTATACATGTAAAGTAAAACTGATTTTTTAATAAATTATAAATTAAAAATTTTCCTCTTTACTTTATTAAAGCATTATAAAATTTGATAGCTAAAATGTTGACCAAAATGGTGAAATTATATTCTTAGCAAGAAAAATTCGAAAATTAGTACCATTATGAAAAATACGGATATCTTTGCAAACATAATACCTACACTCATGAAAATTAAAATGTAAGTGTTTTCCACCTTTCTGAACAATTTTCACTTAATAAAGAAAGTCAATTTCATTTGAGTAAAGTAGTGAAATTACGCTCTGAATTTAATAAACAAAAAATGAAAAATTCGAAAATTATTGCCATTACGTAAACAAGAATATCTCTACAAGTATTATACCTACGCTCATGAAATTTAAGATATAAGTAGTTTCGACATCGGTGAACAACAATTACATAATAAAGGAAGTCGATTTCATTTGAATAAAGTAGTGAAATTACGCTCTGAAATTAAAAAACGGAAAATGAAAAATTCAAAAATTATTGTTATTATAAAAAACATGAATATTTCCACAAGTATTATACCTACGCTTATGATATTCAAGATATAAGTAGTTTCGACATAGATGAACAACTTTCACTTAATAAAGAAAGTTGATTTCATTTGACTAAAGTGACGAAATTACGCTCTGAAGTTAGAAAATATAATACGAAAGAAATTTAGAAATAAATATACTATGAATTGTATAAAATACCTGTATCTTCACAAGATATAAGTAACAAAACTGAGTCAAAGTGTTTAATATGTGTTAATAACAAAGCTTTTAAAATTTTTTTTAGAAAAGAAATTTTTTTTTTTTTATAATCATAACGTGATAAATAAATAAATAAATAATTGTGAAATGTAACACAAATCAAGGGGGTGAATTTCACCTAAGGTGATTAAAATTAAAAAATAACCTAGGGTGAATTTTAAATTAATTCTTTGTTTTATATATTTTTCTAATTTTCGATCTTTAAATTTTATAAAAGATAAAGTCACATGACTGTTTGCACATAAATTGTGTAACATTTATCTTGTTTATGAAAAAAATAATAAAGTACAAAATACAAGGTTAATTTATATATACTAAATTTCTTCCTTTTTCTGATTGATCGAAAATCTTATTAATATTCTGATTGGCTAGCTATTGACCGCATCACATGATTATATTGTATGTCACCCAACGTCAAGTTATACATTTAAACGACGAACCTCAATTTTAAGCTATTGATTACACTATTTTTCAGCCGGGGTTGTAATACAAATTTGTTCACCAATTTGTTAAAGTCGTAACCAGTATATATTTTAATATGTGACGCAAGTTTATAATTCAAATATACTTCGGAAAAAAAATTCGGGGCAAATTAGCTCATTTAAGGGTTTATTAATTTGCAAAAATAATTTCCCAAAACGTATTAGTAGTTTCACTGGTACGAAGACGGATCACGAATGACGAATTAATAATTAATAGCCCTGTTCAAAATCGTTCGGTTACATTTTTCGATCAGTCAGGAACAAAGCAATCTTATTGGTAGAAAAAGTTCGATCCAAAAAAACCTAAAAAAATATTGATCTAAAAGATCGGTTGTACAAACAAATTATGCAAGCAGGTCCGGCCAATCAAATTAAACCACAACCGACCAAAAAATGCGACCGAACGATTTTGAACAGGGCTAATAATTACCGCAAAATCATTTCAATTGCTAAATTCTTTCATATTTTATTTTGCTATTTAACATCATATTTGAATTAATTATTGTATCTAAAGAGATTATAAATATGGCAAGCGGTAGTGGTCAAAAGTGTGTAGCAAAACATAACGTGTACACGCTATGTTTTGTAGCGTGTACACGTTATATTTCACGGCGGGTTAACCCATGTTCTGTGGGTTAACCTGTCAATTTCAGGGGTAACCCGCCATAAAAAGCAACGCTATACGCTACATAATTTAACATGTATTCACTTTATATTATAACGGTTTATTAATTTATTTTGGACCAAATTTTAAATTATTAAGGGATCGAATACCCGCCGTTTCAGTACTCGCCGTTCTACATATCAGGTACCTGCCGCTTCACATATCGGGTACGCGCCATTTAATTTTTTTTTAAAAAAAAATTATTATTTTTTTTTATTGGCTTTTTTTTTATAAACAAATTTTGTAGAGAATTTTTATTTTTTAATATAGGCAAAGGCTTTGTTTGATAGAATTTCATTAGGAATTTTTTTAATAAGATTTTTTGATAAAAAATTTCGTTAGAAAATTTTTTTCATTGATAGGGACATTTCTGAGTTTTTTTTTTAGATGGATAATTTCGTTAAAAACTTTTATTTGATAGAAATTTCATCGGAGAATTTTTTTTAATAAGATTTTTTTTTTTTTTGACGTATACTTAATTTGTTGGAGCAATTTTTTTTAACAGGAGAGATTTTTTTGATAGAGAATTATTTGAGATTTTTTTTTTGTTTGTAGAAAATTATTTGAAGAATTTTTTTAATAGAGAAGATTTTTTTTTTGATAGATAATTTCGTTAGAAAATTTTTTAACAAGAGATTTTTTTTTTTGATAGAGAATTTCGGTAAAGATTTTTTTTTTTAATAGGAGAGGGTTTTTTTTTTGGTATAGAAATTCTTTTGAGAATTTTTTTTAATAGGTGGTAAGAATCTTTGAATTTTTCTTTAATCGGGAATATTTTTTTGATTGAGAATTTCATTAGAGAATTGTTTGTTGAAAAATTTTTTTATTTTTTGATGGAGAATTTTGTTTAGAAATCTTAATAGAAAATTTATTGAAAATAGTTTTTTTTTAATAAGTGTATCGAGAATTTTGGCTTGAAAATTTTTTTTAATAAAGAATTTCATTAGAGATCTTTTTTTTTTATAAAAAATTGATTGAAAATTTATTGGAAAATTTTTTTATTAAATTTACAATTTTAATAAATTTTTACTCCTCTTCATCTTCCCATCACTTCTTTTCATCTCCATCGCTCCTTTTCGTCTCCCATCACTCCTTTTCGTCTCCCATCGCTTCTTTTCGTCTCCCATCACTTCTTTCATCTCCCATCGCTTCTTTTCGTCTCCCATCACTTCTTTCATCTCCCATCACTTCTTTTCGTCTCCCATCATTCCTCTTCATCTTCTTTTTGTCTCCCATCACTTCTTTTTATCTTTCATCACTCCACTTCGTCTCCCATCACTTCTTTTCGTCTCCCATCACTCCTTTTATCTTCCATCACTCCTCTTCGTCTCCCATCACTTCTTTTTGTCTCCCATCACTCCTTTTCATCTCTCATTATGTCCTATTTCTCCTTTTTGTTTTCTATCACTTCTCATTACTCTTTTTTACTCCCTTTCATCTTCTATTATTTTTCATCACGCCATTGTTATTTCATTTTTTTATTAGCATCTTTCTCCTTGATTATTGTAATTTACTTATCTTTTTTATTTATTGTTATTGTTTCTTTTATTTGTACACTTCAATAAAAATAAATATGGTGATTTTTTTCTTTAAAATCGTAAATGTGTGACTTAAACTTTAATATTTGCAAATAAAATTTCATTAAATAAATAATTATCATTATTGATTTTTATCAAAAGTTAGTAATATGCTGACCGCCAGTTCTTATAACGGTACCCGCCGTTTCTTATAGGCAAAAATTACCTTCTTAACCCGTATAACCATATCATCACCTCTCTGCATAATATAAATAAATATTTTATAGTAAGGAAGTCAGTAGAACGCGATGATATATGCAGTGTTGATTAGGTGAGGCGGGTCAAGAAGGTAATTTTTGCTTCTTATAGCGGGTACCTGACGTTTCTTATAACAGGTACCCGTCATAACATATAACATATATAACGTTATGAAATATAGCGTATTAAACGCTATTTTTTGCAACAGGTTACCCCTGAAATTGCATGTTAACAGACAGAACAGGGGCAACCCGCCGTGAA